ATCACCAAGCAACCCTATTCACCCTCACCCACTTCGGAGTGTTAAACTTTTGTTTCTATGCCATGGGAAAAATGCTTGCTGTGAGGAATTTTTGGAGGTAACAAGGGCTAGAATGGTACGTGATAAAGGCTTTTAAGCCAGCCAGGACTGACTCCTGCTCGTGTATTATAGCACTCATTACCATGTGTTTTGGTGTGGGGGCTTTGTTGTTTTCATTATAGCTAGTGACTATTATGTGAACACGGACTGGAGGAAAGTGTTTGTTGGGCTGAATTATTCATACTAGCAAATTTCATTGTAACAAGGTCAACAGAACACTAGCCTTCGCTTAGATCTGGTTTTGTTAGAAACTGTCATTACTATAAATCCAGCGTAACCGAATTTGAACTTGTGTCTATAATTTATAGGCCACAACATTATAGACACTTTATAATTTTGTATTTGCAACATACAGGAACTACCTATGTGGTTCATATCCTCATTGGGGATTCTTACAAGTCAGAGAGATTTTTTTTTTTTTATTCCGCTTTTTAAGTTCATTCATGTGGTTGTAAATGCCCGTGTTGTTTCTTTTCCTAATATACTTAACAATCTCTCTTGTCACTGAAATATTAAAGGCTGGATGGGACCAGCAGTTGGTGTAATGGCTATGTCACTGGACTCTTATGTAGTCGACTGGGGTTTGAGTCCCAGACCCGGTGGCTTAAACTCATGCCGGGCACGTGTGCGTGCGTGCCCAAGATCCCAAGAGGAGGATGGAGGAGAAGGGATTGCAGCATGGCCATCCCCCCTGGGGGGTGATTTCTCACTTTCTGTCTCTGTCTCTCTGTCTTTCTGGCGAGTACATGCGCCCTATAGCAAAAACCTCTCAAAAAAAAAAAAAAAGTTAAACGCTGGAAAGGAGACTCCAAACTGGCGTTCAGGCTTCATCTCAGAATTTCTCTGGAGACCAGAGTCACGGCTATAGATCTCTCTAGAGCTCTGTGACGTATCAGACTCCGTGTGTGATCCCTGACTCCCCTCTACCAATGCAAGAAACACCGGCGGAACCTGTCACCTCTTACTTTAAGGACAGATTCTCCTGCAGGAGGACGGTGGTACATATATTATTCAGCACTGAAAAGGAAGCGCATTAAGGTAGTGAGAATTGTTTCATCAGAACCTAATTGCATCAGCAATGGGGAGACGACTCAAGCACTATTAGAATCCACATGTTCACATAGAGAAGGTCTAAACCTTATCACTGTGGTTCAGTGTTGAGGGTTTTTTTTTTAAGAGACTTTTTTTTTTTTTGCTATAGAGCGCGTGTGCTCGCCAGAGAGAGACAGAGAGACAGAAAGCGAGAAATCACTCCCCAGGGGGGATGGCCACGCTGCAATCCCTTCTCCTCCATTCTCGGAATCCTGGGCATGCACGCACACGCGCCCGGCGTGAGTTTTAAGCCACCCGGTCCGCGACCGCAAACCGCGGTCGACTATGTGAGAGTCCAGCGACATAGCCATTACGCTAACTGCTGGTCCCTTCAGTGTTGAGTTTAATGATGGGCCTAATCATTTCATCAGAATTAATAATTGCTGAAAAATGAGTAACACCTACTTCCCTTGGATACAGGAATGGCGATTGATAAGAATGGATTAATCTACTTTGTTGATGGAACCATGATTAGAAAAGTTGATCAAAATGGAATTATATCAACTCTCCTGGGCTCTAATGATCTGACTTCAGCCCGGCCTTTGACCTGTGACACCAGCATGCACATCAGCCAGGTAATAAACGTATTAAGCTGAGTTGTTTTTCTTCTGAGTGCCTTGATTTACGGTGTCAGCAGGCTGGGGTGGCACCATATTAAACTGCGTATATCACGCGTGGCAGTGGTTATGATACAGCTGTTCCACTTCAGCCTATCTCAGGAGCTAAGAAACAGTTATTTCCTTCTCTAATTCTGCACTGGATGAATTCAATGACATATAGAACAATTATCAGTAAGAAATGCTAAGTGCTTGCAATGAAATACCAGGAAAGTAGCAGTGTGCAGACGTTCCCAGGGAACAAAACAGTTTAAATCTCTGGTCTTCCGAATGCATGCACTCCTTAGGTAGTAGAGAGAACCCACTGTGATTAGTCCCAAGGGACTTATATTTAGAATTAGGAACCTTCCTGTTGGTTTGATCGAGCGCACACTCGAACAGTAATGTCCTCATAACCTGCAAAGCCCTGAGCATGGCGATTATTACCATACATGTATTACATACGTGTTCATATCTCATTGGTATCTATTGACTCACTGCTTGGAGTTTCACTTGCTAGTTGGCTATGACTTGTAAATCTTTCAGTGAGCAACGTTGTTAAATCAAATGCTATTTCCTATATTTGTCTGCACTCAAAACATCTAGGTTTATTTTTACAGTGAAGATTAGAAAAAAAAAAAAAAGAACAATTTTAAAACAGTTTGTCACATTAAGGTTAATTTCCTTGAATGTCTAACTTTCACCACTAGCAAATTAACTGCAGTGCAGTCACTGACTCACCAGGCCATTTTGTCTTTTATGAAGGTGCGTCTGGAATGGCCCACTGACCTAGCCATTAACCCTATGGATAACTCCATTTATGTCCTGGATAATAACGTCGTGTTACAGATCACTGAAAATCGCCAAGTTCGCATTGCTGCTGGACGGCCCATGCACTGTCAGGTTCCTGGAGTGGAGTACCCCGTGGGGAAGCACGCCGTTCAGACCACCCTGGAATCCGCCACTGCCATCGCCGTATCCTACAGTGGGGTCCTGTACATCACTGAGACCGACGAAAAGAAAATCAACCGCATAAGGCAGGTCACAACAGATGGGGAGATCTCCTTAGTGGCCGGAATACCTTCAGAATGTGACTGCAAGAATGATGCCAACTGCGACTGTTACCAGAGTGGAGACGGCTATGCCAAAGATGCCAAACTCAATGCCCCATCATCCCTAGCTGCTTCTCCAGACGGCACGCTCTACATTGCAGATCTAGGGAATATTCGGATCCGGGCCGTATCCAAGAATAAGCCTTTACTCAACTCGATGAACTTTTATGAAGTCGCCTCTCCCACTGATCAAGAACTCTACATCTTCGACATCAATGGTACTCACCAGTATACCGTCAGCTTAGTCACTGGTGACTACCTATACAATTTTAGCTATAGCAATGATAATGACATCACCGCTGTGACAGACAGTAATGGCAACACCCTGAGGATTAGACGGGACCCAAATCGGATGCCTGTGCGCGTGGTGTCTCCAGATAACCAAGTGATCTGGCTGACCATAGGAACAAACGGATGTTTGAAAAGCATGACTGCCCAAGGACTAGAATTAGTTTTGTTTACATACCATGGCAACAGTGGCCTTTTAGCCACCAAAAGTGATGAAACCGGCTGGACAACATTTTTTGAGTAAGTACATGAAAATTCCACTCTGATTATAGAATACTGTGATATAGTAATAATAACAATGATAACAGTAATAATATAATGTCTTTGAGGACCTCTATAATTTCTGGATCTGCCTATCTGAAAAAGAAGACAGAATAAGGTGTAAAATTAGATGTGCAGCCAGAGTGAGAAGTCCTGAAGGTCCAATTTTAATCAGCTGCATGGCAAATCTACTGCTATTTTTTTAATTGTTTTCAAGATTTATTTATTATTATTATTATTTAATTTGCTGTAAGACACCAGAGAGAAACAGAAAGAGAGAGAGGGGAGAAGTGAGATAAGCTGCCAGAGCCAGGGCTTGAACCACAGTTGGCCATGTGGGAGTCCAGAGCCCCAGCCACCACGCCACCTGCTGGCCCCAGCAGAAAACCTTTCAAGAAACATACAACAGCCTTGGTATTAGATAGAAACCCTTGGGGTTTAGATTTGCCCCTGTATTAGTGACAAAGCTGTGTTGGGAGATTTCGTGGAAGAAAAAGTCTAGAAATATTTATAGTGAACTCTGTTGATGTCATAAGCACTCCAGATGTTATTCTTATCACTTACAATGGCTTCGTTTTTATAATTGGTTATTGGAGAAGCTAACCTGTACTTACAAATGAATCTAAAACTCATGCCAGTCAGGAGCGGCTGGTTGTCATCTGAAAGCACATGGACAGATGGAGGCTCCTTCGCCAGAGCCTTCCCGTAAACGTGTGGAGTAGCAGCCCAGGCAGTGTGCCGTCTGAGTAGTCACGTTGTAGGAGGTCAGTAAGAAGGGAATGAAAATGAGCTGTTGTATATTTTATGGTGTGTGTACTTTGCAACAAATGCATGTTAAAATCATTTTCGATTGCTCGTTCACTCAACTAATGTTGCACGAGCCATGAGGGGAAAGTAGACACACAGCGGTGGCATGCTGACAGATGTAAAATAGTCCTTGAAATGAATATTGCGAGTGTGATTCTTACCACGACCTGGTGAAGCTAACGTGTTTTCTGTAGGAGCACCCCTCTAAAATGATGATAAAAGTCAGGCGGAAAAAATGATCTAATATACAAATAGTTCCTGTACTACTTTTCTGGACTGGATCTTAGAGATAAAGCGTAGTACTCCTGTAGCTTGAATTGCCTTTTTTTTTTTTTTTAAAACAGATTCCCTTTTAATAAAATGAATGTTTCCCAGCAGCATGACTTTGTGAGAGGAACAAACCTTTTCAATTGCATTAAAATTCTGTCCTTAACATTCCTTTTGCTCGTTTTAGGATCGCAATAGGAAAAGAATAAATTGGAAGTTAATGGGAAGCACTTCTTTGCACCGTTTTCAAAGTGATAGCAGGTTATATTGCCGAAAAGAGGCAAAAAAGCACAGAAACGTGCGCCCGACAGATGGGTCTGGGCAGGAGAGCTGCCTTGATTATAAGATCTTCAGGAAATGGTGGCGTTGGTAGGGTTTCAGTTTAGTTGAAAGCGGGGGAAAAAATAGAGCAATAAGTTTTTAGTACAGTCTGGGGCTCAAGCCCTGCTCTGTGGGCCATTTTTGAATATGGCCTTACCTGTTCCCGGGCATGGACACTGCACAGAAGTTCGTCGTGTGAGTTCTTGCTGACACATGAACTTCTTGAATAGACACAATGGTTTGCTTCTGACCTGCAGATGAATTGTATTCGAGTTCGGAAAATTAGAGAAAGGGATATACTTCATCGGTAGAGCTGACATGGGATAGTATGTACAAATGTGTACTTTTACCCCTTTTTAAATCATAGTGCAGAAAAGATATAGTTCCCTAGGCGTAAATACCCTCTGAGAGTTTCAGACTTAGTCAAAA